GCCGAAGTTGGACGCTTAACCAACTGAGCCACCCAGGTGACCCTGGGATCCCTATTTCTTTTTTTCTTTTTTTTTTTTTAATTTTTTTTTTCAACGTTTATTTTATTTTTGGGACAGAGAGAGACAGAGCATGAACGGGCGAGGGGCAGAGAGAGAGGGAGACACAGAATCGGAAACAGGCTCCAGGCTCTGAGCCATCAGCCCAGAGCCCGACGCGGGGCTCGAACTCACGGACCGCGAGATCGTGACCTGGCTGAAGCCGGACGCTTAACCGACTGCACCACCCAGGCGCCCCGGGATCCCTATTTCTTAATTGCTACCTCTCTTCCAGGTTCTGTGCTGTCTGCTTCCCTTCTTGTTTCCCTTGTAGTATCACTCGTGCTCTATTATGGGATGCACCATGGGGTGCTAGGGGACAGAGTTTTCACTCAGGGCCTCATGTTTCCAAGTGTCCATGGCATTAGGAGAGGGCTATTCCCCACCTGGGAACCCCTCTGCCCCTTCACCTATTCTGTCTCCACTCTGAGACATCCCTCCCAGCCTCTGAAGAGCATCTGGAGGGAAGATTGCTACCCTCCAGGTCCAGGCAATGTCAACAGCCCTGGTGTGTGGCTCATTATATATTTCTGGGTCACATGTATAAACATGAACTGCCTACCTGTCCTAGGAGAGGGAGCCTTGAGCAAGCAGGTCTTCCATCCAAACAGGGGGGAAAAAACCCCATCTGCTTTTCATTTCTCACAGAGCTTCTTCTAGCCGTGAAGTCCCTGCCTGCAGAGCTCCAGGGTTGGGGTGTGGAGGGGGGTTGCCTGAAGAGGGAGCAGCAGGCTGCAATCCACCCACAGCTCTGAGATGGCTGCTTTGTGGGGCAGAGGGAGGGCTGGCTCCAGCAGACCCTGGATTCAGGAGCCGGGGGGCAAGTTGGTCATGCCTCCATCAGATCTTTGAGCAGGCTGGGCTCAGCCTGCCATGCCGGGCCTGGAGCTCAGGCAGGCCTCTGCTCCCAGACCTTGAAGGAGGGCCCATGACCCTGGCATCTGGCCACAGAGCCATGAGGTTTATCTGGACAGGAACAATGGAGCCATTGTCACCCTCCGGACCCCATCAGCTCCCTGGCTGAGCCTGATGTGAGAAGAGGGACATAAACAAGCAACTTCAGGGCCTTTGGGGCCAGAAAAGAGCAGTGACCCATAGACACTGTAGATGTCCAGGCTTAAGACTCTGGACAGTGGATAGCTGTTGGGGTGTGGGGGGGTGCTGGTGGTGGGCAAAGGGGCCTTGCTCATAAGGGGGTGAGATTTCCATTGGGTGGGTGGGTGGGGCAGTTGTACAAATGTACAAATGTACAAATGAAAAGCAGACACCCGGACAGGCTCTGTGCCAGGGACTGACACATCTCTCTTGGATCTTCACTGCAGCCACTAAAACATTTAGACTTCTGCTCATTTTACAGGTGAGGAGGTGAGGAAAATAAAGTTCAGAGAAGTTGAGCAACTTGCCCAAGGTCACAAAGCTAGTAAGCAGCAGACCCAAGATGCAAACCCGGATAGCTGACACCAGAGCTGAGCTCTCTCCGTTACATCCTGCAGCTTCTCACAGTGAATAGATTTCTCAAACCCAAAGTTAGAACATATGGCCTGTAAAGAATATGTATATTTATAATGATAACAGCACAGAACAGGCTTGTTTGAGTCATTTTTAAAATTTTTATTTTATTTAAAAAATTATTTATATCAAAGTAATGATAAAAAAAAGAGTAATGATGCACAGAGTTGAAAAAGTTAGAGGATATGAAAAAATTATTTAAAAAAAACCCCAACAACTCACTCCTCCTCCGCCCCAATCCCATTTCCTAAGGACAACTTCTTTCAATGCTTTTAGCTGCTTCTCTGTGTGTGTGTCTTTTAATCCAATTTCTTGAAAATATGTATCAAACTCAGACTTTTTCTTCTTGCTTCCTGTTAATGGGGGTGAAGATTTTTCCCACTCACCCATCCCATTCTCCCCCCACGTTAAAGCACACATACATTTCCCTTCTCCTCATCCTCCCACTATAATTATGTAATATTAAACTAATTTAATATATTAATATAATTATTTAATTTTAAATTAAAATCATCAGTATTTACATTATTCTGAATATATAAAAATTGTTCACTACTACCAGTCAGTACCCTGGATTTCACTGAATGTAAGACACCATTGATTGTAATATGAAACACCAAGAAAGAAAATATGCTGCCAATCAAATCCTTTATTGCTTAAATTTTTAATGTAAACTTATTCAAAATGCTCTTACTGAGACCTACAATTTTTATCACCTATCAATCTTATGAGTACAACAAAGAAAAATGTAAGCAAAATTAATTATTCCAAAACCTTCTTTGAATTCAGAGTTCACCTCTTCTGAATCACTTTTCTCTTTGATTGTCAGTGCTCATTTGTTTTGTTTGTTTGCTTGTTTTAGAGTATCATTTTTTGAACCACCCAGGGTTTCAGTGATACCACAGTTCTTAAAGAATATTCCACTCTGGTCTCCAGAGTTTTCTTCCAAGCTATTGTTCCCATTCTGCAAGTTTGGATGCTGATACTCTCTTGATCTTACCAGAAGGTATCCACAGAAGGTTTTCCAAAAAAACCAGGACTCAAATTCCCTCCTCATATGATCCTGAAATGTTAATGTGTGCTGTTACCGGAATACCAGGAATGATGACCAAGTTATTGGTCAATGTCCAACAGCTGCTACAAATCCTTCTCGATATCATTTATTAAATGTAAACACAAATGGTTCTGATCATCTATTCAGTCCCATCCTCTTTCTTCTGCCCCTAGGCTCCAGCCTCCTGCCCCAATGTGGACTGGTTGCTCCTGGGGCTTCCCTGCTTGGCTGTTATCCTGGGACTTACCTTCTCTCCTCTCCTTTTCACTGAATCCTATGTCTCCCAATTTTTTGATTTACTTGCTTATTTTGGTAAAACACATCTCCACTATCTTCCTAAGAAAAGGAACATGATAGATCAATTTTTAAAAATTCATTGGGGCACATGGGTAGCTCAGTGGGTTAAACATCAAACTCTTGATATTGGCTCAGGTCATGATCTCATGGTTCATGAGATTGAGCCCCACAATAGGCTCTGCACTGTCAGTGCAGAGTCTGCTTGGGATTCCCTCTCTCCCTCTCTCTCTCTGCCCCTCCCCCACATGCATGGGAGTGTGCACGCTCTCTCTCTCAAAATAAACATTAAAAATTTTTTTTAAAAAGATAAAAATTTTTGCATGTCTGATTCATTTTATCTCCATACTTGATTGATAGCTTTGATACAGAATTCTAGGTTAAAAATAATTTTCACTCAGAATTTTAAAGGCATTCATTCCCCCACTGTTTTCTAGATTCCAGTGTTGCGATTGAGAAGTCTGATGTAATTCTTATTCCCCAACTTTTCTAGTTTTTTCTTTTTCTTTAGGCTCTAGAAACTTTTTGGATCTTCTCTTTCATTACAATATCCTGAATTTTCCAACTGAGGTGTCTTAGTGCATGACCTTTTTGGGAACTCACTCGGCCCTTTCAGTGTGAAGCCTCATCCTCCATGCTGGCAGATTTTCTTATGTTATTTCATCCTTAATTTCTTCCTCAACTTTTCCTCTGTTCTCTTTTTTGTAACTCTTATGAATCCAACCAAGTGATGGCCGTTGTGCATTGATCCTCTAATATTCTGTTATTTCTCTCCTGTTCGTGATTTCTTATTTTTTTCTTGTTCTAATTTCAGGGAGATTTTTATTCAACTTCATCTTATATTCTTCAATTCGATTTTTATTTCCCCAATCACATTTTTAGTATATTAAAAATATATTTTTATATATCAGAAGATTCAATGAGTTTTTTCTAATTACTTTTTAAGATGTTTTCTTATATTTCTCTAATTGTCCCTGCACCTTTCTTCATTCCTTCTGCTTGTTTGTTTTGATCTTTCTCTTTCACTTTATAGGCTTTTTTT